GTGTGTCTGGTTGTGACGACAGATTTGTGGAGGCCGGTGGGAGGGGGACCATATGCCTTAGTGACTCATCATACATCGGGTAACTTGGTGTTGTTGTTATTTAAGTTGTGCTGCTGTTGTTGTTGTCATTAGAACGCTTTAACTGAATAAATATTAATATAATTATCATCAACCACCACCATTATTATTAATTATATGTATTTTTGTTATTGTTATTCTTACAATGCCGAGTTAGGTATATAAAATATTAATATCTAGAATTTAGGATATATATAAGCACATGACGGGGAGGTGAGGGAGGGGGGATTACAGTACTCACCAGTGACTCATTATACACCAGTGACTCATTATACATCAGACAACAAGACTAGTGGTGACCTCAGAGAATATCGTGAATCATTATTATTATTATTATCGTTTAATATTTAAATTTACTGTAAGTGATTCGAATAACCATTTGAAAATAATTCTTCTTCTTATACAGTTAATTTAAATCCATATGAGTTATAATTAATTGGATTTATTACACCGTTTAAGCACGTAATCCACATCTTGGGAGGGAGGTGACAAAGTGACGTCACTCCATAATGTGTTTGACAGGGTGTAATCCTAATGGCCAACGATAACTTTCAACCCATTTGTGGTAGTAAAAACTTAACTACTTCCTAGGTTATTAAGACATCAATAAACACTAAATAAATAAGTAAAGGGGCTAAAATGACTAGTGTGACGTCATCAGGGTGGCAGGGGTGGGATGATGATGTACGTTTGTTTACACTCTTAATGTTCATAAATTTGATCGAAATTGTGAGAAAAAAAAATAGTAGTTTGATAAAATATGTGTTAGCATTTTTATGTATAATGCTTGTAGTAGGGATAATATAAATAATAATAATAATAATAATAATAATAATAATAATAATAATAATAATAATAATAATAATGATAATAATAATAATAATAATAATAATAATAATAATAATAATAATAATTATAATAATAATAATAATAATAATAATAATAATAATAATAATAATAATAATAATAATAATAATAATAATAATAATAATAATAATAATAAATCTCACTAGAGGTACAAATACTTAAATTAACAGAAGATTGACATTATCAGTTTCATAAAAATATTACTTACAATAATATGAACAAAATAACTAATGATATCCACAAAAGTAAAGTAAATATTTAGTGACATTACTATGACTTCGATTCCCAGTGATTGGTAAGCTGAGTTTTTTTCTCGTAACTGTGTATGTAAGTGAGTCACTCTTGGCGCTGTTACACAAAGATGGCGGACAAAATGGCATAGTACTGTACTTTGGGAGAGTGTGACGTCATGAGGTTCATTCTCTTGTAGGAAGGAGTCTTTGAGAGCCAGGTGTAGACTCACCCCTCACACACACACACTTCTTCCTTCTTCCCTACCTTGCCAAACTAAGCACTAGAGGCGATAGTCTGGGATACACTCCAAGGACTGACGACCAATGAGGATACAATAATAAGTAAAACACCGACACTGCACACGATTTCATTCACATCCCAAACTGCATAGTCAAGTGCACGAGTCAGCCCCTGGCACGAGTTAGGTATACTTAGGACTGGAGGTGAGTGTTGTGTGCACTCAGCCACCGCACCCCGAAAGGCATTTAGAGGATATTAATATGTGGTTCGTTGTAATAAGTGTTGCTGACAATCAGTTATTACAGAGAGAGAGAGAGAGAGAGAGAGAGGTGGGGAGGGCAGGGTAAGGGGAGGAGGGGGTGCCAGTGCCAACCCCTAGTAGTATTGGCATCATGCCTCAGGCCAGCGTGCCAGACACACCCGGGAGTACGCCACGCTACCCACACCATCCCTGCTGCTGCCGCCCGCACGCCCGCGCACGCACACACACATACTAACACACACACATACACACAACGAAGGACAAGGCTGAACGAATTCTACTCCACTGTCTCTCAAACGATGACAATTTCTCACTTTGTCTGCTTCTGTCTGTCTCTTTCTCACTAGATAGTGAAGTTCACACGAGAGAGAGAGAGAGAGAGAGAGTCAATCAACTTTGATATTGTTAATGATATTGAAACAGTTTATTTAGCCAGAAAAACACAGATACAGAGTCGATTAAAAATCCTAATATTAACAAGGCTGAGCCAGTTGAGAGCCTGACCTGCCCCTGATATATACTATACATTTATCTCAAGGAAGTATTATGAAACATTTAGTATCATCTGGAATAGTACAATAGCATGGTGGTAATAAGTACATTTCATAGTGTTACCACTGTTATCACTTCGATATTTATTTATTTTATTTTAATTTATTTTATTTATTGTTTTACACTTATATTTTACGTATATACATAATATACAGTGGAATTGAAAAACATAAATATGATCAGGGAGGAAAGCAGTACAGCATGGGTTGTATTAAGGTGGAACAAGAGGACAGAGCTGTCAGGATTATGTCTAGTTGGCACATATAAGAATATTTCGTTCAGGAGAGATAAAATGAACGGCATGTTTACGTTCTCAAGGCCGAGGGAGACAGACAGACAGACAGACAGACGAAAAAGAGTCCGTTTTCTGATTTTCTTGAACCTTGAGACACACTGAACCTTTAGTCACTATAAGAAACCTTGCAATCTTGTGGGTTTCTTGACGTCAGGGGTTCTCAGCCCAAGACACTGAGAGACAAACTGAACCTTTTGCAAAATTGATTGTAAAAAAAACCCATTAATCTTCAAAAACAGTGACGAAAACAACTTACTTGGTTAATGATCGTGACCTCGTGACTGACTGACCTTGTAACTGACTGACTGTTTCTGTGAGGGAGTGAGTGACTGATTGACTGGCTGACCATGTGAGTGATTGATTGACTGACTGACTGACTGACTGACTGATGACATCTGATGACATTTATTTCTACTGAGGACGTGTTGAAGCAGAGGAGGAGGAGGAGGAGGAGGAGGAGGAGGAGGAGGAGGAGGAGGAGGAGGAGGAGGAGGAGAGGAGGACGAGGAGGACGAGGAGGACGAGGGAGGACGAGGAGGAGGACGAGGAGGAGGAGGAGGACGAGGAGGAGGAGGAGGACGAGGAGGAGGAGGACGTGTTGGTGGTGGTTACAGTCTTCACGCCGAGAGACAGTCAGCCAGTTAAACAATCAGACAGTTCACTAGACAGCAAATTAGGTAGCCATCACGTGTTTAATGACAGTACGTGTTTACAGACAGTACGTGTTTACAGGCAGTACGTGTTTACAGTTTACAGACAGTACGTGTTTACAGACAGTACGTGTTTACAGACAGTACGTGTTTACAGACAGTACGTGTTTACAGGCAGTACGTGTTTACAGGCAGTACGTGTTTACAGGCAGTACGTGTTTGGGCGTACGTGTTTACAGGCAGTACGTGTTTACAGGCAGTGTTTACAGGCAGTACGTGTTTACGGGCAGTACGTGTTTACAAGCAGTACGTGTTTTGCAGGCAGTACGTGTTTACAGGCGGTACGTGTTTTACAGACAGTACGTGTTTACAGACAGTGCGTGTTTACAGGCAGTACGTGTTTTACAGGCAGTACGTGTTTACAGCCAGTACGTGTTTACAGACAGTACGTGTCTACAGCCAGTACGTGTTTACAGGCAGTACGTGTTTACAGGCAGTACGTGTTTACAGCCATACGTGTTTACAGATAGTACGTGTTTACAGACAGTACGTGTTTACAGGCAGTACGTGTTTACAGGCAGTTCGTGTTTACAGACAGTACGTGTTTACAGGCAGTTCGTGTTTACAGACAGTACGTGTTTACAGCCAGTACGTGTTTACAGACAGTACGTGTTTACAGCCAGTACGTGTTTACAGGCAGTACGTGTCTACAGGTGTTTACCCTCTCTTCATATTAACGCACCATACTCTATCTCTGTATTTTGCTGGTATAGTTTTTATCATCGCGTTAATGTTGCCATGAACGCGAAATATAATGCCGGTCTAATACAGAACGACAGACCCGTTTTTTGTGTCGCTGGGGAGACTCAAGCAAAAACACCGTAAGGTTTCGGGGTGAGTTTTTGTTTCTGTTGATAATGGCGACGATTAAGGATGTTTTGTGGTGTTTGGGGTGAAGAGAAGGATGTTATCTGTGTGGATGTGAATGAGTTGACATCTGTTGTACGTCGTTTAGTTTATTTTTGGCCACTAGATTGTCGTTTCTTGTTTATTTAGGAGAATAGTGGATGGTGGTTGACTTGGGTGATGTTTGATTGATATACAAATGGGTGATACCCTGTCTTGATATATTTACCTCTCGTCGATGGATCTTTAATAAATACTTAACCTTTGTACAGTACGTCAGCTTATATATAATTATTTATTGCTATGAATATTTTACTGTTTTAGGAATGTGCAAAATATCTCATGTACTGTCTATTCTAATTTAAGACATTGTCAAAATATTTTTACTTTTGTTGGGTAGACCTGAACCAACGACTGCCAGATGTTGTGTATGTTTTGCTGAACTTGTTAAAAAAAAGTCTTTTGTTGGGGAATGTTCTAACTAACGGCTGTAGTCTACTTGTGTGTACCTCTATGTTTGTCAGTGTATTTGTTTATATGACAAAAATCTTATAGTCAGATAACTTTAGAATCGGTGGCAACTACATCTTTCAGTGTTAATTTTTAAAGAAAATTACCTCAGTTTTCCCCCAAACAACCACAGAAAAACATGAAAGAGTCAGAGAAAATGAAGACGAGTTACGATATGTGGACGACAGACACTTGTAAATATAACTCACGTGTCTTAAAATACATCTCATAATGCAATAGTGTTTTTTGTCGCGTGGGGAGGGTCGTGGGAGGACATCCATGGTTATTGTTTTGATAACACAGCTGATGACGTGTCAACAAACTCTGCCTCCATGTTTTCTTGGAAATATTGAGGCTGCAGGACGTTATATGTACACACGTCTCAAATACCTGGTTTCTCCTGTAGGTGAGTGAGTGGTTCGGCAACATGCGACGTCGTATCCGGGAGGCGACTCGTGGGATGGGCATCTGCTGGGAGGAGCGAGTCCGTGTGTACAACTCTGTCATCACGGGCAAGTCGGAGCCTCTCCCCATCATACCTGAAGACGCCATCAACACTTGGGTTCCCCCCGTGCCTCAAGGTAGGTACTGGTCCTTACATCTGGTGGTGATTTAGCCATTAAGGGCGATGTTAATCTGGGTCCTCATCCCTGATGAGAATGGTTGATTTTAATCGGGGTGCTTCACCTCTGAGGGAAGGGTGATCTTAAACAGGGGTGCTTCATATGTGGGGAGGGTGGTAATAATATAGAGTGCTTCACCTCTGAGGGAAGGGTGATCTTAAACAGGGGTGCTTCATCTGTTATCTTTTTCTGTATTATTTACATTTACAGAGCCTCAAGTCTTGGACTCTCACGAGGAGGTGTCCGCGTCTCCCAAGTTCAAGACGACGCTTCTTCAGCGGTACCTCAACAACTCCCTGGAAGCCCCCGCCCGCCACTACCCCGCCAGTGACGGCGCCAACGTCCGGCAGCCGTCAACCTCGGCCTCCTCCTTAGAAGACGACCTTCATTCGCGCTACAAGACTTCAGCACATTTGGAACCTTCTGTTGCCTTCTCCCAGTCCCTTCCGCTTTGTACCTCCAGTCCAAAGGAAAAGAGCTTTCAGGCTCTCTGGAACGCCTCGTTTGAGCGTGTGAAAGACGGACAGGTGGTAGCTACGACCTCTAGGTTCTTGGGAAGAGGTGAGTACCTGTTGAAGCCTCAGGGAGAGGAAGAGGGGCGAGTCATGAAGAGGTACGACCGTCAACGAGGCTCCGAGTACGGCTCGCCGAGCGTCAAGAGACAGCGGACATCAGAGACCAGCGAGGACTGGCTACACCGCGCCTCCACTTCAAGGGACTTGTCCACTCCGTTCTTCCTGAGTCGCCGCGACACACCTGAGGGAGGACAGGGCACCACCTCTCACCTGTCGTCATGGACCAACCACGCCACAATAGGCGACATAAGGTCCTCAGGTGAGACGCCCATTATGCTTCCTTTCTCACACTTTCCTTCAACAGGTGTTGGACGCCTTACCTGACACTTATCTCTATCTTTCCTTGAAGAGTTGCATAAAAACTGGTATGTAAAAGACTTCAGTAATATTCAAAGATTCATTTTCTCAAATACTGCCAAGTTCTGTGGTTATTTGGTTATTGTGTGCTGATAAAAAGGAATTAAAGTCCAGAAACTTTAATAATCATAACAGAACTGTGGCAGAAGACCAAACACAACTTGGTCTTATTGGTATGTAAAGTGGTGACGAGCTCTTGGTTCCTTAAGTGAAGTCACAAGCGTCTCCTGGGGGTCGTCACTCCAGTAGTCTTGTTGTCCAGCTTCTGTGTCTCTGTGGTTATATGATTCATAACCCATCCGGAAGGTCTTCTCTTTATTTAAAGATATTATAAATAACGTTTGTGTTTATGTCTTCCGAAACCTAAGAATTCTGGGAAAATTTAAAATGTTCTCTTTGGTTGTTCATCTACTGTATGTTTCACAGAAAGTTTTGATCCTAATAATAATAACTTTAGATGAGGTAGAAAACTATGAGGTGTGTTAATGTGTGTTGTGTTGCAGATGAGGAGAGCGGAGTAGAGCAATGCCGGCGTCAACCAGAGGAGATTGCCGCCGCTTACACTCTCATGGAGCTCCAAAACATGTGACGCACCGCACCAACCACTCCACACTTGGTTGATGACCCGCCGTCCGTGGGTCAGAGGAGGGCGTCTCCCTCCCCACGCTTCCCTCACCTATCATCTGTGGGCCGAAGGAGAGCTGTGCTTCATCACCCTCCATCTGAGGTCATCAGGCTCTGTTCCACCTCACTGTCCTCTCCCGTCACCTCAGGACGACCTCTCCCCAATCCTCAGCAAGTATCCATTCCTCGTGGACTTCCAAAATCCCTTTATGCCAGCCTGAATTTCTCCAAGTCCTCTTGAAACACACGACTCTGTAGCATCCTTTGGAATTAAGCAAGACGTTTTGATGCCTTCGACTACACAAGGAGTGCGTATCTCCCCCGGTATGTGGGTAGTTCCTGGACTCTAGGAAGTTGTCTACTGTTCCTCAACTCCAATATGCTGGAACGTTTTCTGGCCCTCAAGACATAATCTCCCTAGAGGAAATGATCTTAAATCTCTTTTCCATTTGCTGCCTTCCGTTCCCTATTATGTGATATTATGCTTCCGAGGATGTTTGCTTAAATTCTTACAAACTCCTAGATGTATAACTGCCATATGAAACTTTACAGTGAACAGTTGAAAACGAGTGAATGAACATAAATGTAGTTCAGTTACAGAACATTATTTTGAGTATTTTGGTGTCTGTTATAAGATGATAACTCTGCTTGATGAGTGAAAGATTATAGTTGATTAAGACTTGAGAACAATAGTCTTCTGAAGAGTACAACTCCTACCTGTGTACAAATATCAACAAACACACAAGACGAGCACCGCTCTTGGGAACACACAGCAGCGTCTTCTACTTGTGACGAGTTGTGAAGTTTAGTCAGTTGATGGACGTTTTCTATCTCTCTCTCCGTTGTTACCTGGTCTCATAATTAGTGCCACTTGATCCACTCAAGTGAACTACATAAGATGTTTGATGTGCAAGTGTCGGGTGTTTGACCACTTGAGCTGCCTGCACATTATAGGAAGGAAGTCCAATCAAGCTGGTGTTTGTGCCTTAGTGTGGCTGTTAACATCCTCACTAAAGGAGAAACACAGCAGGATGTTTCATGGTTTCAGCCGCCTCCGCCCAGCACAGCAACCGGACCAGCACACGGTGAATGTATCCACCTAGAAAACGCATCGTGACTAGAGGATATAGCTGAGCTATATCCTATTTTCTGTTGTTACTTCAAAGCAGGTCTTTGAATGATCATCTGCACGTCCCAGTCATCAGCGTGAAGCAGTGTTAGTAAACAAACAGTCAGTTGGTTTGCGTTCTAGTAAGCCAAGACTCAGAGGGACGTAGCACAGTCTTGTGTGAGTGTATTAAGTTACATCTAGTCTTTCAATTAATTGTGTTTCGATGGAGAGTTGTCACTGGAGGGATGAATGTGTGTGAGGGCCGCCGTAACGCGTTAGAGAGACCCCTAGATGGCATCATGTGGACGGAACATTGTCAAGTAAAGTCTATGTTTGGAAAGACGCCTCGTGTGTGGTGTGGCGCCAAGGTAATATTAACACAGGAAATATAATGACTCACCAAGGGGCGAGGTGGTGTGTTACTCAGCTGCTGCTAACGTGATGCTGTATATGTGAACTTAACGTTAGTGATTTTGTGCCTCACAATACTTGAAAAGCAGTGCACAGAAATGTGACAAACACAGACACTTTTTGTTCGGTAGTGAATATCTTGTAGCCTCCATCCTCACTTGCCGTCACCACAGGAAGTTCTTCAGCCAAGAAGTGACCGTGTGAGGGCGCTACACTGATCCCTCGTGCCATCTACGGAACTCTGAAATGATTTATGACACTTTTTGTTTGTTCGGCTCCACACATGAATTTGTCTCTACCAAATAGGCGAACGAGTTTATGATTCTGTTGCTTCCTGAGAGTAAAAGAAACTACTCTTCATCGAATCACACTTGTAAATAGTTATATCTCTGCGTTATTGATAAGCATTTTCCTCCTGGTTCTGTGCATCTCTTGTTGTAGTTTTTATGCGCTATCTAGAAAACCTTCCCAACTCCTATCAATTTCATCCTGTACTCAACCCACTTCCAATACGACTTTGAACTGTTTTCTGACTTAATGATACATGTATCTTACTCATTCTACACATATAAACCTTGAGCTAGTCATCCCAGTGAACACAGCTGCCACATAATCTAGTCATAGCAAAGCAGGTAGAAGTAGGGACAGTTTAGTGCAGTGTCCCCCTCAACATCCCTCTTCCGTGACACAGAAAACGGAAGCGTTAACTAAACTATTTATTAATTAATTTATTTATTACTATATATTTTCTCCTATTAACACACACACACACACACACACACACACACACACACACACCAAATAGTGGTTGACTGACTCCAGATGGTGGTTGACTTAGTTAACTGATTAAGGTTGTAGTTGTTGTCGATCAAGTTGAAACACAAACCATCAGCACAAACAAAGACTCGAACTGTCACTAACAACCACCAGAACTGCCACAAACAACCACTAACACCGCTAACAACCATCAGACGTGTCACAAACAACCACTAACAACCATCAGACGTGTCGCAAACAACCACTAACACCACTAACAAACATAAGACCTGCCACAATCAACCACTAACAACCATCAGACCTGTCACAAACAACCACTAACACCACTAACTACCACCCGAACTGCCACAAACAACCACTAACAACCATCAGACCTGTCACAAACAACCACTAACTCCACTAATAACCATCAGACCTGTCACAAAAACAACCACTAACAACCATTAGACCTGCCACAAACAACCACTAACAACCATCAGACCTGTCACAAACAACCACTAACACCACTAACAACCATTAGACCTGCCACAAACATCACTAACACCACTAACAACCATTAGACCTGTCACAAACAACCACTAACAACCATTAGACCTGCCATAAACAACCACTAACACCACTAACAACCATCAGACCTGTCACAAACAACCACTAACAACCATTAGACCTGCCCAAAGAACCACTAACACCACTAACAACCATCAGACCTGTCACAAACAACCACTAACACCACTAACAACCATCAGACCTGTCACAAACAACCACTAACAACCATTAGACCTGCCATAAACAACCACTAACACCACTAACAACCATCAGACCTGTCACAAACAACCACTAACACCACTAACAACCATCAGACCTTTCACAAACAACCACTAACACCACTAACAACCATCAGAACTGTCACAAACAACCACTAACACCACTAACAACCATCAGAACTGTCACAAACAACCACTAACACCACTAACAACCATCAGACCTGTCACAAAACAACCACTAACACCACTAACAACCATCAGACCTTTCACAAACAAACCATTAACACCACTAACAACCATCAGACCTGTCACAAACAACCACTAACAACCATTAGACCTGCCACAAAGAACCACTAACACCACTAACAACCATCAGACCTGTCACAAACAACCACTAATACCACTAACAACCATCAGACCTGTCACAAACAACCACTAACAACCAATAGACCTGCCACAAACAACCACTAACACAACTAACAACCATCAGACCTGTCACAAACATCCACTAACAACCATTAGACCTGCCACAAACAACCACTAACACCACTAACAACCATCAGACCTGTCACAAACAACCACTAACAACCATAAGACCTGCCACAAACAACCTAACACCACTAACAACCATCAGAACAAAACCACTCAGACCTGTCACAAACAACCACTAACAACCATTAGACCTGCCACAAACAACCACTAACACCACTAACAACCATCAGACCTGTCACAAACAACCACTAACAACCATTAGACCTCACAAACAACCACTAACAACCATTAGACCTGCCACAAACAACCACTAACACCACTAACAGCCATCAGACCTGTCACAAACAACCACTAACAACCATTAGATCTGCCACAAACAACCACTAACACCACTAACAACCATCAGCTCTACTACAAGCAACCACAAACCTTCTCAACTAGCCACAACCACCATCACCACCACCAAAAACAATGACTCGTCAAACCTCCTCCACAACACGCAACCATAACAACCAAAACTATAGTAATGACTTTATATAATATTCGTCACAACCATCACATTATTACCACCACAACTTACTACAGCTACCAACAACCACAATACCATTACCACTACTACTACTATCACCACCACCACCACAACTACAACCACAATCACAATTTAACAACAATTTCCACCAGTACCACAATTACAAAGATATTTAAATGCCACAACAAACATAATAACTACCACCACTAGCATCACAATCACCACAACTACTACCACCAGCACCACAATTACAAGGACCACAATAACCACAATTACGAAGACCACCACCACCACCACCACCACCAAGTACAAGTTACCTTTTGAAGCTCTTGTTAGTGTTTGGTTTCAGCTCCAAAGGCATACACCTTTCTCTAGTCACATGTAGTGGAGCTGACCCCATCCATTGTGGCGTTCCCTTTGGGGGTATGGGGAGGGGGTTGATACTTGTAGCCAGTAAAACAGACCCATTATTTTAGTCAGGCCTCCTAGACTAAGCCAGTTTTATTAGAGCTGTGCCGTAAGATCTCAAGTTCCTCCGAGTTGATCTTTGTCGTCACCTTTCTACTGGGCAGCTCCATACTCTTTTATAGGGTCTCATATTAAGGGGTTAAGAGATGGCACGATACTTAATTTTAACACACACACACACACACACACACACACACACACACACACACACACACACACACACACACACACACACACACACACACACACACATTATCGTGCCTAAACTAAACTCCTGATGTAATCTTTTGACAACATTTCTCAAGCAAGTCTCAACCTTAAAACCAACCCCCATTATTATTTTGCAGGGGAGGGAGTTGTTGCGTCCCCCTCCCTCCCCTTCCTCATACTCCTCATATTCCACTTCTCCTCCCCATCCGCCTCCTCCTACCCGCTAATCCTACGCCAACTGGCAGACATGATGATAATAAAAAATATGACCCCAAAAGAATAAGAAGACTTCAAACAGAATCATTGGCTGTGACCCCTCGCTCTGTGATAACGAGGAAGGCACCAGCGACTACCCCTCAGGAACAGGTCTCTCTATGACGTCACAACCCACAATAACAACCACCAACCAACTAGACTCTCTTTAATAAAAAAATTGACGCCACACAAGCGACTTAAACCAACTAGAACTCTACTGTAACAACACAGGCCCTGAACAATCAGACTACAGTATTTTACTGTGACGACACATGATTTAAACAACCAACCAAACTCTTCCAGCTGATACTATGACGTCTCGATGACGTTGACTATGATGTCTTAACTAACCAGACTATCTCTGTGACGATACACGATCTAAATAGCCAACCAGTCTCTTTATTTACTTTGACGTCAGACTACTCAAACCAATCACCATCTATGTTAACTATGACGCCACATGCCCTAAAACAGTCAGACTATCTTTACTCAATGTGACGTCGACGATCTCGACCAACCAGACGCTCTTACTGTGACGTCACGATGGCGTCGACACTGACGTCAAACATTCTAGAAGTAAGCAAGACCTGATGCTGAGGGACATTTAGTATCTCCGGTGCCTTCATGGTGTAAACATTGACCCACACCCCCCAGCAGTACAAAGTTCGGGTGTTTTCATCTTTTTTTTTTGCGTCTTTCGTAATTTGTATTTAATTTATTCGTAAATGACAAAAAATGATGTTAAAAAAAATTAATTCACCTTTTTAATTCATGATTGTGGTTCCCTTTCTCTGTTCTGTATTTTAATGTATATATAACTTAGTTATTTTGAGGTTCAGTTATATATTAAGTGATTAAGGACTCGACTCTCTATTCCTGTCACACCTCACATCTGAGTGTGGTGGTTCTACTGATCTGAGTGTGGTGGTTCTACTGATCTGAGTGTGGTGGTTCTACTGATCTGAGTGTGGTGGTTCTACTGATCTGAGTGTGGTGGTTCTACTGATCTGAGTGTGGTGGTTCTACTGATATGATTGTGGTGGTTCTACTGATCTGAGTGTGGTGGTTCTACTGACCTGAGTGTGTTGGTTCTACTGATCTGAGTGAGGTGGTTCTACTGATCTGAGTGTGGTGGTTCTTACCCTAGCGATAGCTCATCAGTCTGGAAATCAGATTCTGATTGGTTAACGGACGGTACTGTTGATTAAATGATGAACGCTGAAATCAAGTGACAATTCAGTTATTGATTCTGATGAGTTCGCTTAGCGTTGATATGATCTGATTGTTAAATGCTGTCATGAGACGATAATGACCTGATTCTTAGAGCCACTCAGAAAATGATGACCAGATTGATAGAGCCACCTTGAATGATTCCAGATTGTTAGTAGAGCCATTCAAATGATAGTGACCTGATTGTTAGAGACACTCAGATGATAGTGAACTGGTTGTTAAGAGACATTCAGATGATGGTGACCTGATTGTTAGAGACACTCAGATGATAGTGAACTGATTGTTAAGAGACATTCAGATGATGGTGACCTGATTGTTAGAGACACTCACATGATGATGACCTGATTGTTATAAACATCCAGATGATGATTACCTGATTGTTAGCCATTTAAATGATGATAGCCTGATTGTTATCCATTTAAATGATGATAACCCGATTGTTAGAGTCATTCAGATGATGATGACCTGATTGGTAGCCATTTAAATGATGATAACCTGATTGTTAGCCATTTAAATAATGATAACCTGATTGTTAGCCATTTAAATGATGATAACCTGATTGTTAACCATTTAAATGATAACCTGATTGTTAGATACACTCATTTAATTATCATCTCGATTGTTAGGCACTCAAATGATGATAAACTGAATGTTAACCACTCAGATGATGATGAACTGATTGTTAAAGCCACTCAGATTAACCTGATTGTCTGGTCTATGACAGGAATAGAGTCTCAGAACACACAAGAAGCAAGGTCAAATTATTCTGCATCTAGTAGTCGTTACAGACAACAGGTACAAAACAGGATGTGAAACTGTATGCAGATGTAAAGACTTAACTGTAACCACTGTATTAGCCCTTTTAGGATGATGGTAAGGGCTGTAATTACTGTATTAGCCAATTTAGGATGATGGTAAGGGCTGTAATAACTGTATCGTGGCCCTTTAAGGATGATGGTAAGGGCTGTAATCACTGTATTAGCCAATTTAGGATGATGTAAGGGCTGTAATTACTGTATCTTGCCATTTGAGGATGATGGTAAGGGCTGTAATCACTGTATCTTTAAACCATCGTTCTCAAAGGGTTGTGTTGTAATTGTAGAAGTGGTCATTATTCTCCACAGGTGACACAGAGGCATTAAAGATACCCCAATAACCCCCTTGAATAAGCCAAAGCTACAATACAAAGATCCATTTACTGTAGTCTGTCCTCGATCCAAGAATAACCTTTTGAAAGTTGGCCATTACAGTTCAATGTTATAGTATATGAATTTAAAAGTACTGTAACGTCATGAAATCCTCTATAAATATGACTTTAGAAATGGCCATTACAGTCCAAAGGTATAATATGTGGCCTTAAGATGAGATTGTATTGTTTGGAAAGTGCCATTTGCCATTAGAATCCAAGGGTACAAATACGGGGCTGTATAAACATTGTAATACAGTGGTCTCATGAACAGGTGTCTAATGTACAGTGTTCTTATATGCAGGTGTCTTTATATACAGTTATGACTACAGGTGTTGAATCCTGTATAACTTTAAAGTTGTCTGGACA